CAGCTGCCATACCTCAAACTCTCCACACTCCTCCTGGGGTCCTGGGGAGCCTGGGTTCTGCCCCTTGGATCTGATGTCAAAGACTCAGTTTCCACATCTGTGAATGAGGATGATAACAGCTTACCTCCCTGGCTTCTTGGGAACAGTAAGTGAGGTCGCTGGTGTCACCTAGATAATGCAGTGCCTGGCCCTTAGATCTCTGTTAAGTGGTCATATTTATGCTAGCTAACCCTTTATTTTTAGTATTTAGCACTTATCTGGTGCTTAGTATGTGGTGGGCCTTGTTCTGAATGCCTTGCAAATATTAACTCATTCAGTTTTCACAGCCACCCTCGGAGGTAGGCATTTTTACAGTGAAAGGAGACTGAGGCACAGAGAGGGCAAATAACTTGTCGAGGTGCACACAGCATTTAAGTGGTGGTATCAGGATTCACACACAGGCAGTGGCGTCAGAATTCGCACCCTTAACCCCGCAATGACAAGTCTTCCCCAGTAGCTGATGTTTTCTCCGCTAATCACATAAATAAGCATTTTACTAGAATAATGGTGGGGAGGAGGGGTGCAGCCGCAGACTGAGGCTCCGCGTGCCTGTGCCGGCGCGGGTGCCAAGCCACCCTCTCCGCTCGCCTGTAGGTCTTCTGGATCGGACCCCTGGTGGGCGCCATCCTAGGCTCCCTCCTGTACAACTACGTGCTGTTCCCGCCAGCCAAGAGCTGGTCGGAGCGCCTGGCGGTGCTGAAGGGCCTGGAGCCGGACACGGACTGGGAGGAGCGCGAGGTGCGGCGGCGGCAGTCGGTGGAGCTGCACTCGCCGCAGAGCCTGCCGCGGGGCAGCAAAGCCTGAGGGCCGCCCCGATGAAGCCCCGTGGGGCCCGAGGCGGACGGGCCCACCCCGCCCCTACTCTCCCCCAGGTCTGAGGTTGACCCCCAGCGCAGAGTAGCTGCTTCCCGGACGTGCGCGCGGAGGCCAGTGCTGTGAGCAGGCAGAGAGGAGGCTGCGGGGTCGGGGAGCCCTGGGCCGGCAGCTCCCCTGTCCTGAGACTGTGGACACGGCGGTGGATCCTCCAGCCTTTTGCAGAGAACTGGGAACTCGGAGGGCTGAGCTAGGGAGGGAGGCAGGTGGTGGGGGGAAGAAGGAAGCTCTGGAGAGCCTGCACCCAGGTAGTGGGTAGGGAGTGTACAGACCCCTGCCTTGGGGGTTCTGGGAACGGTGCAACTGGTTTCACTAGTGTGCAAGTGCTGTGTTCATCCCCGAGTTCTCCTTTGTCCTCACGTGCAAGGTTGTGGGTGCCCCTGAGTGTGAACAGGTTTGCCTGCGTTGGTGCAAGTGTGCATGGCTGGGGACTTCTCACTTCCCCTTACACCCCTTCCTCACCAACATGTCACAGATCCGCTTCCTCTGCAATGGGTGAGTGTGGGTGCCAGTCATCCCCAGGAGAAGGGGAAGAAAGGAAGGAGGACACTTTGAGAAGCTGAAGGGAGGGTCTTGATTTCCAGCTGGTATCTGGCTCCTCCCGAAAAATTTCCCCCACTTGCAGCGCTGGGCCCCAGGACTCATTGCTGGAGGTAGAGAGGTGTCAACCAGAGACTCCCCGAGAAATGCCCTCTGGAAGACCAGGCGCGGTGGCTCCCGCCTGTAATCCAGCACTTTAGGAGGCTGAGGTGGGCAGATCACCTGAGGTCAGGAGTTTGAGACCAGCCTGACCAACATGGAGAAGCCCCATCTCTATTAAAATACAAAATTAGCTGGGTGTGATGGCACATGCCTGTAATCCCAGCTACTCAGGAGGCTGAGGCAGGAGAATCTCCTGAACCTGGGAGGTGGAGGTTGCAGTGAGCCTAGATCACGCCATTGCACTCCAGCATGGGCAGCAAGAGCAAAAGTCCATCTCAAAAGCACACGAAAGAAAGAAAGAAAGAAAAGAAAGAAAAGGAAGGAAGGAGGGAGGGAGGAAAGAAGGAAGGACCCTCTGGAAAAAGGAAATCTTTGCTGGCCGAAGATTTCCTTTCTGCGTTGAGGGGGAACCTCTCCAGAGAGGAAGCATGAGTGTGGGCGGCTGCACATGTCTGTACGATGTGTGTGCCCAGGAACCCCGTCTCCAGGGGTGCCCCAGACTAGAGATTAGCCTCCCACTTCGGCAGATAAAACAAAAGCCCTTTCTGGGACCCTGGCCTTTGTCTTGGGAGAGGGGGAGATTTGCAACTAGACACTTCTTGAAAGGAGACACTCAAGTTTCGCAAGTGAGCCCTCTCGCCCAGCACACACTTATGGCTGACTGGGCAAGGCACTCAGGCATGCAACCACAGGCACCAGGCAACACCCCTCCATCACCTATCTCACTCCCCCCATCCTTGGGCAGCAGCTACTCCACCACAGGAATCTCTGTTCCTTCTGTCCCTGCCTCTCCACAGCCTATGATTCCCCACTTCTGGCTCCAACCACTAGACAATTATTGTGGAGAGAGCAGCCTGCCACTCTCAGGACCAGAGAAGGGAAATGATTTCTCCAGGCAGAGGCAGATCTGAGTCTAGAACCCAGGTTTATAAATTTCTAGGCCAGTATGACTGCTCTCAAATGAGATTAACTGGGATTAAGTGAGATGATGCGTGTAAAGATGAAGATACTGTGTGAACTGTAATTCTTTTTTTTCTGAGACGGAGTTTCATTCTTGTTCCCCAGGCTGGAGGGCAATGGTGTGATCTCAGCTCACTGCAACCTCCGCCTCCCAGGTTTAAGCGATTCTCCTGCTTGAGCCTCCCATATAGTTGGGATTACAGGCATGCATGCATCACCTAATTCTGTATTTTTAGTAGAGATGGGTTTCTCCATGTTGGTCAGGCTGTTCTAGAACTCCCGACCTCAGGTGATCCGCTCGCTTTGGTCTCCCAAAGTGCTGGGATTACAGGAGTAAGCCACTGTGCCCGGCCATGAATTGTAATTCTTAATACCATTATCATGCATTACTAGGGTAATTTTCTTTATTTCTGCTTCCTGGGGGAACGATGCAGAAGGAGTTTGATGCTCAGCATCCCTTACCTCCTTTCACTGATGGTCAAAGCAAAGGAGAGTCCTGGGAGCCCACAAGATCTAGGTAGAAGGAGATGGGTTTGGGCTGGACCCATCCTGGCACAGCCTCTTAACCTCTCCCTACCCTGAATGTGTGCCCTTTTCTCCCACCTTCTTCCTCCCGCCACCCAGCCCCATCCATTCTCTCCCTCCTCCAGCCTGCTGTATAAGTAACATTCGGGTCATACCTTGAGACCCCCTCTCCATCCTCTCTGTGGCCTCCATGCCTTCAAGGCTTCTGTCTGTATCTATGTCACACCGCATGCATCAAGCACCCACTGTGCACTAGGCACTAAGCTTCTAGCCTCTTTCTCCCTTCTGCTCCCATCCAAGAAAGACAGTGTATAAGGAACATCCCTGCAACTCTGTCCCCTCTCATCTATGCTCTTTACTGTCCTCCCTGGCCAAAGCTCTCTTTGAAATCCAAAAAAGGCTGCCCTGGGCCATACGTGCTATGGCGAGGACTCTCCCAAACCCCCAACAGCTAGTGACAGCTACTTGGCCTCACTACCAGAAGGGGGGTGGAGTCAGAAACCAAAGTGACCTCCAGAGCTGTCCTCCTGGCACCTGAGTGTCCTTGCTCTAGAGCTTCAAAGGCAGCAAGGCAGTGAGCTATGAGCCCAGCATGGATGTGTCTCAGGCACCTCGTCCCCACTCTACCTCACCTAGCAAACTCCTCTAGAAGAAGCCAAGAATTTCTCTGTATGACTGTTTCACTTCTTGAATTGCATCTCCCCAAAAACTAAATGTGAAATCCCTACCATTTCCAGCCTCTATTGCCCAAATTGGGGTCAGAGGTCAAAAAAGGATTCCAAGTGATGGAACTCCAAGGGTGGAGGGAAACTGGCAGTTCCTGGGCATCCCTTGCTGTGCTGGGTGCCTTGCATGCACTGGCTCATCTAATCTTCCTAAGACTTCAGCTAGGTTAGGGAAGGACACTGTCTTGCAGTGGACGGAGAGCCTTGGTGGGGGCGGCAGGGTAGAGAGGACTAAGAACATGGGGCTGGATTCTGCCCTTGAAGAGCACTGGGTCAGGAGGAGAACGGAGATCACACACACTGAACCAGACAGAGGCAGGGCAGCATGGAGGCAGGTGAACATACCACCAGGTCCCCAGGCTGGGGACAGAAGGTTCTGAGCTGTCCCGTACTCCCAGTTTGTGCCAAATGACTTTGCACCTGCAGTGGGTGCTTCCATGTTGTTTTGTATCTTTAAGCTGTGATGCTGTCTATACACAATACCTCCCAGCTAGACTGTAAGCCCTTTGGGGACAGGGCTCCTTCCAGTTCTTAGATGGCATTCTCCTATCTACCTTCCTTCAACTGTTTTACCTAGCACAGTGCTCTGCATATAAGCACTCAATAAATGCGCATTTGCCAATGAGTACTGGGAGTGGTCAATATAAATACAGTCCAAGGTACCAGAAGACAGGCAGAGCTCCCTACCATTTCTACCCCAGCCCTCAACTTCCACCAGGGAATCTAGAGGTCCCTATATCAGGAGAGGAGGGGAAGGGCTCTCCCTGAGATATTCAAATTCCCCCTGCCACAAATGGGGTGACCCATCTCTCAGCCCGGAAGGGTCCCAGGCATTCCTCTGGGGCTGGCAGGGCAGGGCCTGACTACTCGGGCAAAGATAATTCCAAGACATAATAGGAGTTTCTTGTGATGACTTGGGGACAGAGGGACCCTAGTGGTTAGAGAGATGGAAGGGCCTCAGCCACAAGCCTAGGAAACAGAATCGGCTGCCCCGTGAGAGTAACCTTGACAGATCAAATCTCCTCCTTTGGCCTCGCCAGGCCCATTCCTGGTGACCACGTCTGTTTGGCGACCTGTGGTGCCCATCTCAGGTCACTGTGTGACCCTAGGCAAGTGACCTCTGAGTCTGGGTTTTTTCACAGATAGCTTGGAATCAAATCACACAGTGGAGGCCAATTATAATCTATAACTTTGTAGATTATATTCTGAATCTCTGAAATGGCAAGAACAAGGTCTTGGCCTTGACAGTCCCTCATTAGCTGCAAAGGACTGAGCTCAAATCCTCAGGTGGGAGCCTCCCCCGGTGGCCCAGCCTCTTGTGAGCACTCCTGAGTCCTTTCACTCCAAGACGCTGGAGTTTGAGACCTGTGGACCCATGAAGACAGTGCCTGGGGACAGAGGACAAGAAAGCAAGTGGGTGAGCAGAGAAGGAGCCTGGCCCCCAGTGGCCTCTGGGGTCATCAGGGTCATTGCCCAACCCAAGCCCCAGGCCCAGCAGAAAATCCTGCATACAACTGGAGGGATGCGTTGAAGGCAGAACGCTGGGACCCATGGAAGAAAGGACAGACAGACCTCCAGCCTTAAGAGGAGAGACTTGGGGGAGGAGCTGCTCTAGCAGGAAATGCCACAGGTGAGCAGGAACAATAGCGGGGTTTCTTTGGCCTTTGTTTTCTTTGGCATCTTCGCTGCCACAGAGCCCAGAGCCTGCTCCTCCAAGCCCTTGGCATTCCTTCGGGCTCCTCCCCTCAGCCCTGCCTGACAGACTGACAGAGGAGGCACCTGTTCTCTTCTTCCACTGCACCCTCGGGCTGGACTCTTCCTCCAGCTTAGTGCCACATTAAACCCTCAAGGGGCTTTTAAAATTAACAGTCATAACATAAGGAGACTTTACAGAGCCTTATTCTGTGCCAGGCAGAATAGCTTCTCTAGCACACGTGGGGACGGGGGTCTTTAATGCAGCTCCTCTCCTGGTATCCTGAGGGTGGGTCCTCCCCCTCCTCTAAGCCCTGGAGAGTCCTCCAACCTCATTCCCCACATGCCGGACCTGGAGTGGGTGGGGAGAGGGAGAGGGGAGGTATGGGAGGCCCAGCAGGTCACAGAGAGGCTACAAGCTCAGAGAGAAGGGGGATGGGAACTGGAAGAAAGTGTCACCCAGACCAGAGGTAGAAGGACTTGACTTTGGGGAAACTGAAAAAGACCACGTGTAAGAGAGAGGCATGGAAAATGAGGTAGAAACAGACAGAAACAAAGAAAGGCACACAAATTAAAAGAGGCAGAGGAAAAGTGAAAACAGCCAGGAGACAGGAACTGCAAGATGAGAGAAATGAATAGAGAGAAAAAGACAGACGAAGACAGCAAAAGGCAGGAAGAAAAACAAGATGAGAAAGTGTGAGAGACAGAGAGAGAGAGGTGGAGAACAGAGACTGAAATGAGAAAGAGACCAACGAAGAGAGACGAAAAGAGGCTGGCAGAGGGAGAAGGACAGAGACTAAAGACAGAGACAATGAGAGACAGAGAGAGAGTTTTGCAAAAGACTGTCAGAAACAGAAAGATTTCGAGGGGAGAGAGACCAAGACCAAGTGAGGGTTTGAAGGAGGCTGAGGGGAGGAGGAGGAAGAGGAGAGTCTTAGATCCAGGGTGAGGGGCTTCTGGCAGGGAGGGGGGAGACGCCGAGACCGGGCTTGGGAGGTCAGTGGTGCGCCTCTATCTACCCTCCCTGCTTCCCAGCTCCAACCCCTTCCCCCCCAGTCTCAACCCCATCCCTGTCCTGTCGACAAGAGGAACCCCGGCCTGGTAGAGGGCGCCTCCGGGGATCCGCTGCCTAGTCCAGGTACTACTCAGCTACCGGGCGTCGAGGATTGCGAAGCGCCGGGCAGGCTGGCACGGTGCCCACTTTTCCCAAAACGCCAGCTTTCCAAGCCCAGAAGCTTGCCCGGGCGGCCCGGCCCAGGAGTGACCCACGACGGCCAGACCGCCCTGCAGGACCCAGCCCGGCCGCCCGCCCCCGCCGCCGGCGGTCAGGGAGGTGAGCCGCACAGACCTGCTGGAAGAGCATCACTCTGACCCAGCCGGTGGTGAGGCGGGTCAGGATGCTCCGGTCGCAGGAGGAAAAGGAGGAGTTGGACCACGGGCCTGAAGAGGAGAAAAGAGGAAGCCCGCAGAGTGCGGAAAAGGCCGCGGAGCTAGACACTCGGAGGTCGGAGCCGAGCGCCGGAACCCAGCCCAGTCTTCCACGGAGTCCGGGGCGCACAGCACGGAAGAGAGCGCGGGAGCCAACCTGGACGCATCATGCGCAGGGCCCGGGCCTCGGGGCCGGTCTACACGGCCGCCTGGGTCACATGGCCTGGCCGGGGGGCGGGGGTCGCGCCGGGGCTGCGCTGGGCGGCAGAGAGCGGCGGGCCCGCGGCCGCCTCGAGCTTCCCAACCCGCGCGTCGCGCTGGCCCCCGAGCGTGGGAGCCGCCCCCTGCCCCCCCGCGCCGGCCCCGCGCCCTACCGCCCGCCCCCTATATAGCGCGCCCCTGCAGGGCCCGCGCCAGGCCGCCAGCTTCGGAGTGGGCGCGGGACAGCGCGCAGCTCCCCGCAGCCAGGCGCCTGCCCCTGTCGCACCCACCTCCAGAGCCGCCTGCGACCCCACGGGCGCCCCCCGCCACGGCAGCAGCCGCCGGGCCCCCGCGGCCACCATGAAGAAGGAGGTGTGCTCCGTGGCCTTCCTCAAGGCCGTGTTCGCGGAGTTCTTGGCCACCCTCATCTTCGTCTTCTTTGGCCTGGGCTCGGCCCTCAAGTGGCCGTCGGCGCTGCCCACCATCCTGCAGATCTCGCTGGCCTTTGGCCTGGCCATAGGCACGCTGGTCCAGGCCCTGGGGCCAGTGAGCGGCGGCCACATCAACCCCGCCGTCACCCTGGCCCTCTTGGTGGGCAACCAGATCTCGCTGCTCCGGGCTTTATTCTACGTGGTGGCCCAGCTGGTGGGCGCCATTGCGGGGGCCGGCATCCTCTACGGGTTGGCACCTCTCAATGCCCGGGGCAATCTGGCCGTCAACGCGGTGAGTGCCCTGATGGGGTGGGAGCCGGGACCCTGGGGTGGGCTCAGGACCTCCTTGGAAAGAAGGAGTGGCACAGAGTGGGCCCGCCCACACCCTTCACCAGGAAGGCAAGAGCCTCCAGAGGCCAGGAAGGCGGCTCTCCAGGCTGATGTGTGCCCCCTTCCTGCCCACCTCCTCTTCCCCTCCTTTCATGCTGGCCCACCCTGGCCTCTCTCCAATGCCTGCTGCCCCTCCTCTCCTGCTGGAAACTTCTGCCTCCTCTTGTCTCACCTCTGAGCTGCGCCTTCCTCCTGAGCCCCTCACCTCTCCCATCTGCTCCTCAGTGGAGGAGTTGAGCAGAACCACCAGCGAGAAGCCGGCTGTAATTTCGGCTTTGGTGACCCTGGCCCGCCTGTGCTTCACTGTTCCCAGCTCCTTCATGGGGATGCTGTGCCTGCCACAGCAGTGTCAAGGGGCTGACATTTAGAAACCGTAGCTAGAAACCCCCTCATGGTGCTAGTGCAGAGTGCTCTCTGTTGAGTATTGGTCCTGCTTTCTCCAACCCGTGCCCCTCCCCCACACCCTCCCACCTCCTGCAGCCCCAGACTCAGCCCCCACCCCCATGCAAACTGGCTTCATTAATCAAACACAGAGGAGGATTTGCTCGGCCATTGTGAAGCCGTGAGTCAGCCACACTGGAGAGACGGGTTTAAAGTTGGCACTGGCATGGGGCCAGGCACGGGCAGGAGGCTGGGATGGGGGTATGAGGTAGGCAAACCGGGCAGCTGCCCACAGGATGGAAGGTAAATGCCAGCTTGTGGGGGCTGGGGGGTTGGTCAGAGCCGTTGATAGGACCGTGTCCAGGAAAAGCTCCCCTGACACTGTGCTTTGGCCGCAGGCCTGAGCTTCAAGCCTGTGCAAACTGAAATGTATAGTGTCTTTGACAAATGGCTCTGCTGGGGTGATGTCCATGGGGCTTGGCTTCCAGGTGCCAAGGTGCTCTGAGTGCTCCTGGAGGCCAAAAGCCCTGCTCCCCAAGCCCCTGGCTGGACAGCCAGAAGGTGCCCAGGGTCCTAACCCACCGTCCCCTTGCAGGTCAACAAAAACACGACGCTGGGTCAGGCCATGGCAGTGGAGCTGATTCTCACCTTCCAGCTGGCGCTCTGCATCTTCGCCTCCACTGACTCCCGCCGCACCAGCCCTGTGGGTTCCCCAGCCCTGTCCATCGGCCTGTCTGTCACCCTGGGCCACCTTGTTGGGGTGAGCAGTGCTGACACTGGGCTGGGGTGAGGGTGGGGGGCAGGCTCTCGAGGCAAATAATGGAGCCCCAGAGGGGAGCCCACTTCAGATTGATGAGTTCAGCCGAGTTTAAGACCTGGATTTAGGGCTGCTGGACTCTGGCCCTACCGGGCCAGATCTAGGGGAATCAATTCCAGCAGAATTGATCCCCCAAAACCTCTGGGCTGAGGAAAGATGGGAGTAAGTGGGCGGTGGGATGGGGCAGGAATCAAACCCCAGCTTAGAGCAGAGAAGAGAGGAGGGTGTAAAGGGGCAGCTGGAATCCTTGGAGGGAGAGGTTGCCAGCCCAGCAATCCGGGGACCTGAGTTTGAGAGCTGGCTGAGCCCCTGGACTGCGGTGTGACCTGGGAGAGTCCAGGTCCTGTGGGAGCTGACCAGGGTGTTGCCTTTCTCTCCACCACCCTGTCTCTGTCCAGATCTACTTCACTGGCTGCTCCATGAACCCAGCCCGCTCTTTCGGCCCTGCAGTGGTTATGAATCGGTTCAGCCGAGCTCACTGGGTGAGTCTGTCCCCTCCCCTGTCTCCCCAGAAATGAGCTCCTGGAGGCCCAGCAGTGGCAGCTCAGAGCTCACCAGGCCTTTTGGATGCTGTGGGCCCAGAGCTTGGGGGTGGGCCAGGGAGGGTTGTTGAGAGAGCAAGGGACACAGTAGGGGATGGGATTCAGCCAGAGGGGCAGAGGTGGCTTTGTATGCCCTGCAGACTGGGGACAGGGAGTATCAGTGTCTGTCCCCTTAGAGAAGAGGCTCTGTACTGAACCTAGAGGTGCAGGGGGCTCTGTGTCAATTCCCTTAAGCATCTATCTGGTGTCTGTCCCTCTGGGCATCTGTGTGCTGGTCCTCTCTGATGTTTTACTGATCTGTCCCTGTTGAGGCGGTTGGGAGAGTCTTCCTGTGGGTCTGTCCCTGTGGACAGTCTGTCTGCCACCTCCTTTGAGAGCTCATGGTTACTCTCTCCAGGGTCTGTTTCTATCCCTATGTGGAGGGGAGAGGCGCTCTGTTCATCTCTCTGAGGACCCACGTGTCCCCTCTGAAGGTTTATTTGTTTCTCTTTAGGGTGTGGTTGGAGGGGGCCTGTCCCTCTGGGAATCCGTCTGCCTTCTTTGAGGCTCTGGGTGTCTGGGGTCCATGTCTCTGTCCCTGGGAGTGGTGTGCCAGTATATCCAACCCTGAGGTGGGAGGAAGGCTTTCTCCCTGGAGGTCTGGAAGTCTGCATGTCTGTCTCCTCCCGGGGTCCACAGGTCTGTCCTCGGTGGGGTATGGGGGTGTCTCATCTCCGAGGTCTGGAGCTCAGCGCCCTGAACCCTGCCCTGTCTCCACCAGGTTTTCTGGGTAGGGCCCATTGTGGGGGCGGTCCTGGCTGCCATCCTCTACTTCTACCTACTCTTCCCCAACTCCCTGAGCCTGGGTGAGCGTGTGGCCATCTTCAAGGGCACATATGAGCCCGACGAGGACTGGGAGGAGCAGCGGGAGGAGCGCAAGAAGACCATGGAACTGACCGCCCGCTGACCAGCGGCAGGCAGGGGCCAGCCCCTCAGCCCCTGAGCCAAGGGGGGGGGAAAGAAAAAGTATCTAACACAACGCTTCCTTTTGGCACAAACGGTCCGCTTGGCTGGGGAGGAGGTGCTGGCCCCCCTGGCTGCACAGTTAGAGAGGGGAGAAGGAACCCATGATGGGACTCCTGGGGTAGGGGCCAGGGGCTGGGGTCTGCTGGGGACGGGTCTGAGGTCTGGGAGAGGCCAGACCTCAGAGATTGTGAACGCAGTGCCAAGCTCATAGACTGCAAGGGCCAGGCCACAAAAGGGTGAGCCTGCAGCCTGCCTCCCCCACCTTCCCCAACCCCTCCTCAAGAGCCGAAGGGATCCCAGCCCCTAGGTGGGCAGAGGCAGACCCTTCCCAGAGCTCCTTAGGAAGAAGACACACTGGTTCATTGAATGCTGCCTTATTTATTTCTGGTTAGGATGCATGGTGTGGGGCTGCTGGTGTTTGGAGTGGGGGCTTCCCAATAAATCACTGATACATTCTACCTCTGTCTCTCCCCAGAGCTCCTTGAGACACTCTGGCCCATTTTCTCTCCTCTTTGTCATCCCACATCCTCCACCACGATCTCTACAGGGTACCAGGAGACCCCAGAACAAGTGCCCTGTGGGAAGAAAGGGAGGCACAGGCCAGGGGAGGCCCAGAGAATCAGAGAGATGGGGACAGAGCAGGAGAGACCGAGCAAGAGAAGATCGAATGTCAAAATAGATCTAGAGGCCAGGAAGGAGGGTCCTCACTGCAGTCACTCTCCACCCCTCCCCCTCAGCCATGTCAAGTCCTGCCACTTTAGCAGGGCTGGGCTGACACTCGAGGGCAGTGCCAGGGTGTGACAGGCAGAGTGGAGGAGGAGTGAGTCAACTGCAGCCCCTCGAGATGCCAAGGGGGTGACCAGCCAGGTTCCATCGCAGCCCGGGGCTCCTTTCTCTGCACCTTGATGATTCAAAAAGGTGCCCTGTTGGGAGCCTGTACTCAGAGGGAGCATCCCTCTGGCACCCCCAGAAGCCACATGTGGCCCAGCTCTTTTCCAGGGCTTCTCTCTCCTGCCTCTGCCCACCAGTGTCCCCACCGTCCTCTCCTCTGGGCCTGGAGCTCTGCCCTAGCCTGCTCTTGTCCCGCTGACACTGACACTCTTTAGGTAAACACCTTAAGCTCTTAGGGCCTCCATCTCTTCATCTGTAAAGTGGGGATAAAATGTCACTTTCCTCACAAGGTAGTTGTGGGGACCGAATGAGGCCATTCGATGCCCCGGCCTGGCCAGCTTTCTGTGCGGCAAAGGTAGAAGGCACGCAGTGAACAGCTCCGCACAGCCCAGCTTAGCAGTGAGCCCAGCCTGGAGTCGGGTAGCCCACATTCCAATCTGGCTGCGCAACTTGGGGCAACATAAGCTCTCTGAGCTGTAGGGACCTCATCTGCAAAACAGCCACACTTTTCCCAACCTGATGCGCCGGAGGAGAAAATGAGACCATGCCTGGAGGTAAACCGCTTGTGCAAACGGCCAGGCACCTTGGAGTGCTCATTAAAGTCGTGTGAAAAGAAACCCGCACGTACCTGCCTCATCTGGGGTCCCAGCCACATGCTCCTGCCCTCCTAGGGGTGTCTGGACCAGAGCGCCTGTCCAGCGGGGCCGGGAAACGGACTAGAAGGGGTGGGGGAAGCTGCAGGTTTGGGCAGCGGAGGGCCAGCCCCCGGGGCCGGGGTGAGGAGCGGCAGACCCCCCAGCCTCCTCCACACTTAGAGTCTAAGCATCTACAAGTGGGAGCTCAGCCACTCATGCCCGGGCAGGAGGCTTACAGTAAACAGCACGTGGCAGTGCGTGTGAGAACCCCGGGAGCCCAGGGAAGGAGCCGCCCCCACCCACTGCGCCCCTTCCCACTTCTTCCAACCTGCCCCAGGCTGGGGGAGCCGGGCTGCAAGTGCCAGCTCTGGCCAGCAGGGGGCGACCTCGTCCACCGAATCTACAGCGTGGCGCTTCCTCGACCACAAGTCCTGGGTCTGGGCTCCAGCCAGATGGGGGTGGGGTGGAGAACACAGGGAGTCCTTCAGACTTGGGTCCCCTGGGGCCACCTTGAGGCATCCTATCCCAATGCAACCCCGCCCGACTATCCGGGAGGGGCGCAGAAGAGAGGGGAGCCCTTCTCCGCTCAGTCTCCAGGAGACAGGTACAGACACAGCCATGACCGGGAGGCTGGGCTCTCCCTCCAGCCCAGTGGGGACCACAACAGGGTGGACTGTGGACTCTTAGGAGACAGACCTGCGGGTGTGGGCGAGGCACCCGGTCAGAGGGGGCTACTGGCCCTGAGCTTCCTGCAGGTTGCCTCGCCCGGCCCTCGAGCGAGCGTCCAGCTAGGGCTTGGGGCTGACCAGCGCCGTGGTTGGGCGGTGTGGCCAGCAGGGGTCGCTGTGTCCTCGTGTCGGCTCTTGCAGGAGCGGCAGGTCTGCGGGTTCACAAAGCCCCGTGCACACACGCGTGCACGCACACACTGACCCCACACAGCTCCTGGGCTCCTACACACTGACCTTGTCATACCCGAGGGCTGCATCTTCCGGGTGTGTGGGTCCCTTTCCCTGTGCACGCTCACTCGAGTGTGCAGAGCACATCAGCCCTCCTCCAGCATTCGCCCACAGCGCCACCGAGGGCCCTGACCTATGATCCTGGCTCCGCGGATTCTTATGCAAGCACACACATCACCTCTGCTGCACCTAAAGATGGAACCCAGGGAGAGTCTGGATTCTCCTGTGGGAGGCTCCCTTCCCCTTTCTCCCCCTCTTCGTCTCCCCGGGGGCTGCCAGTTCTCACCAGCTGGGAGGTGGACAAGTTGATTTGGGGACAGATGGAAGAGGCCTGGGAGGAGAGGTGGAGAGCAGACAGAGGGCTGGCTGTTGAGATGGGTGGACAGGAGGAAGGACGGCTGGGAGGACTGGGTCTCTCTGCTCCTCTTGGCCTCAGCTTCCTCCTTCATCATGTGTGGATGAGGACATCAGACCTCCTGACCTTTCCAGGTTTTGTGTGGTGAAATGATGCATCGGAAGTCACCTGGAATCCCTTCCCCATCAATTTGTGTTCTCCCTCCTCCTTTCTCCCGGTACCTTCCTCCTTCCCGTCCCATTTCCCCCCTTAGCTTCCCCAATCTCTGATAGGACCTCAGTCAGAGCTGCATGGACAGGCAGCCCTAGACAGCCAGATACAGAGCCTTGGCAAAAGGGTTTTGAGCATGAGTGAGCTTAGAGCTTGGGACTAGAGCCCAGCGCTGGCTGGGTCCTGGCAGGTGCTGGTCAGGGCAGGAAACCAGGCCTGAAGCAAGCTCTGATCAATGCCCACCTGGCCTCAGGAGGTGAAAGGCCTTGCTCCAGGCCAGGCAGAGGTCAGGAGGTTCAGCCCCAGGCTAGCTGGGGACAAGGGCTGCCGCTGCACTTAGCACTGTCAGGCTCCAGGGCCCAGGGCAGGTGCTAAGGTGCCTGTCCTGGAACAGCCGTGCAGCCCGGTCCCCACAGCTGTGTCACGGCAGGGGCGGGAAGCTGCAACCCTAATCATTCACATTTTCTGTATGGAGGCCCTCTCCTAGGTGTCAGCACATTTACTGTAACTGCACCCGGGGCGGAGGGAACTGTTAGCATCATCCCCATTGTGAAAATGAGGATCTTGAGGTTAAGCTACTGCTTGAGCTGTTGCACACGTGGCAGTGTTCACAGTGCTTTCACCCGCTGCCTCAGCAGCTCTCGACAGAGACACGTTACTGCCACTTGGCACCCGTTTAACAAGGGTAGACACTGAGGCTCGGTCAGATGAAAGGACTGGTAAGTGCCTGTCCACCAAGCTCTCTACTGGTCCCATCCGAGGTAAGTGAAGGAGACAAATGCCCTTGAAGTACTTGGGACAGCCCCCAGCTAGGGACCCCCCCCATGCCAGGGAGGAACTTTGCCCACGCTACCCCCACAGCCATACCCTGTCATCCCTCAAGCATTTCTTGAATGAGTCCTCTATGTTGGACAGGGATGGAGTCTGCGCTGGAACAGTGGAGGCATTGAGGAGGCCGAGGCCACAACCAGCCCCTGGCTTTGTTCAAGCCCTGCTTCTCTAAGAAGCTTGCCCTGATTCTGCCGGAGAGGGAAATCAGGGCAGTCTTCACAGAGGAATTGCACTTGAGCAAAGTCTTGAGAGACAAAAAGGAGAGGCATCCAAACTCCACAGCAAACAGCTCGTTCTGGGGAACTAGGTTTGGCCTGGCTGGAGTAGAGGGTGCAGGGTGGGCAGTGGCAGGGGAGCCTTCCTTGGACGTTAAACATGGGTATTCAGACCTGAGCCTGAGGCAGTGGGGAGCCATTGAAAGTTTTTGAGCAAAGGAGTAACATGATGAGCTTTGCATTTTGGAAGGATCTCTCTGACAGTGAGTGGAGAGCCGCGTGGAAGGGCACAGATGTGCAGTGTAGTCTGAGGGCCCAGGAAGGAGGCCAATGCAGTCATCCTGGAGAGATGATAAGGCTGCACTGGGCCAGTGGCAAGGGGGGATGGAAAGAGGTGTCACATGTGAGAGAGATCTACCAGGAACCCGGTCAGCTGTTTGCTGTGGGCTGGGGAAGGCGAGGCACTGGATAATTCCTGTGTTCTGGCCTCGGCAACTGAGTAAGAGCAGGGTGAAGAGGAGCAGGCTGGAGGGTCCAGTGAGAGGTGAGTGGGTCTGGAGTTCAGGAGAAAGGTCTGGACCAGAGGCAGTGCTGAGAGTCAACAGGGTGCACAGGCCACAGGTGGGAGCAGGACTGCCCAGGCACACTCATCAGGAGTGACGAGGCCTGGGCTTAAGGATCAGCAGAAGAGGAGCCAGCCACAGAGGCAGAGATGCCCTCACAGAGGTGGGGGTACAGCCAGGAGATACCTGTGCCTCAAAGGCTGGGAAAAAGAGGCTTCAGGAGGGAGAGGGCCGGCAGCCCGTGCGCCACAGCGGGCTGGAGAGGAGGTCGTGCTGCCTTTCGCCAGACCAGTTTCAGTAGCGGGGGCCGGGGGCTACTGGGTAGTGGACAGGTGACTGGAACCCTGACTCCAAACTGCCATCTTCCACTGCTCCGCAACTACACAGGCACATTTATAGGGAAGAAGTCAGGAGAGGTGGAGGTCTGAAAGCCACAGGTGAGAGTGGGAATGGCCAAGAGAGGGCCCCAGTCACTCAAGGGAGCCAGAAGTCCAAGGAGGGTCTCCCGACCCCGACTTGTACGCCTGAGAAGGGCTGCCTCTACTTCAAGGCCACAGGGCAGCTGGTGAGGGCATGGGGCGGCTGCAGGGGAGTTTGGCTGGGAGGAAGGACGGGAAGAAGTCTTGCCTGGTAGGTTGGCTTTCTAGGTTGGGTGGGAGGCAAGGTTGGGTGCTCTGCTAAGAGAAAGCCAGAGTGAGCCGAGTACTTGAAGAGAGTGGGGGAGGTTTAAAGAATGGGGGGAGAGCTGCGGAAGGATTGCTGAGCAGAACTGCGATCCCCACTGGGGCCAGAGACCGTGA